AAGCATCGGTTACTGAAGATCAATATTCTAACCCGGACCTTCACGGGGTACGACAAGCATGGGTTACTGAAGATCAATTCTAACCCGGACCTTCACGGGGTACGACAAGCATGGGTTACTGAAGATCAATATTCTAACCCGGACCTTCACGGGTTATGAATATGGAACATGTTGTGTCACCTTTATTTACAGTCACTGCTCCAGCAACAGGAGAGCGGCAGCATTCAACGACAGAATGCATAATGTCTAATTTCAGCCATTTGTGAATATTTGAATCCAACAATGAGTATTGGTCTCTTGCTAACAAACCACTGGTCAAAGTCAGTATTGATCGAGGAGTTTATTATCAGTTTACCATAGCAACTAACCTCTACGTTACTTTGATATATTTTACGACAATGATTTTTACAGATAAAGAACCAATTACATAATCGCAAGACCGCCTCCGTGGTGTAGTTGATAGAGCATCCACCCGGAGAGCAGAAGGTCGTGGGTTCGATCCCCGACCGCGTCATACCAAAAGACGTTAATAATATGGTACATGTTGGTCCCTGCCTGGCGTTCGGCATTAATGGGTACAACAAGGACTGGTCGGCTCGGAGTCAGTATAATGTGTCTGAGTGGGGTATTCATGCTTCACTGCGGCATGGTATCTTATTGGGCTAGCACTTTAAAACCCGCTTAAGTCTGGGCTAGTACAAGCAGCCGCACATACACGTACACACGCATGCACGTCGTCATATGAGCGAAATATTCTCAAGCACGACGTTAAACTCAATTTAACCTCACCTCACATAATCGCAAGGAATCTTGCAATGCTATTGAACCCCCTCAAGTTATCTTGATTTATATTTTGACTCATCTCAGTGAAACAAAATGCACAAAACGATAATGAGATAATTTGCGTGCAGCAAGTGCAAAACTGTTTCTACAAAACCTTAATGCAAGTTTACAAAACTGAATCATGTCTGATAAAACAATTCATCGCTCCCGAGCATTTGGTTATTGACATGAATATAAACATCAACGTCTGGGTTTAAAACAAGATTCCAGTCATCACCAAAGATGAAGTGTTCATTGTTAAAAGACAAAGCTTGCTGAAGTATGGAAATATATATAATCACCTTTAATTACCCTGTGAATTTTGTAAGAAAAGTTGTTATTGATTAAAATTGCAACACCTCGGGATTGGCTATTATTACAGTTAAGGATACAATCAAAACCCCATTCTGCTCGAACGTACAACTCTAACTTATTGACAAAATGGGCATCTTGGAGCAAGTAAATTGAGTGTTTCTTGGCTCTCAAAAACTTTAAAACATCCTTCCTTTTTTGTAGATCTCCTAAGCTTAAGCCTCGACAGTTTGGAGAACGACAGCTAAATTTCTCATCAATGTTACAGATTGTTGTCTAGCTGTCCCCTGGCTACTTAGTTTTGACTGTAACAGGGATTCAGAACTAAAATTTAAATTACATAAATTTTTTTTAATAAAAATAAAAATATCGCAATTCCTCATTCATTTAAAGTGATTTATTTACTATTTGTACCCATGAAGATCCGGGTTAGGTTCAGCAATGCTCAGCAATTCATGCATGTCGTATGAGGCGACTGACAGGGTCGGGCTGTCAGGCTCGCTGACTGGGTTGACGCATGTCATCGTATCCTATTTGCATTGACCGATGCTCATGATGTAGATCACTGGATTGTCTGGTCCAGACTCGATTTTTTACATACCACCGCTAAATAGCTGGGATATTGCTGACTGCGGTGTTAAACGACTAAACAACAAACAACCAGAATGATGTTCAACATCAAGATTTGAGATAGTTTTAGCAGTCTTCACACAAGTTGAGCCATTGGTGATACTGTATATATCAACACTCAGTAGACAATCCAGGACATTGCCGACATGGATTAAAACAGTTTGTGAGTTATCAATGCCAGAAGCGCTGACATGGCTTAAAACCTGGCAGCAGAGTTTGTGAAATGCAAGCAACAACCTTTCATGTAGAGAGGTCCAAAAACAAAGAACATAGTGCTGCAACTTCCTGCTTGTTATTCCGTTCTTCTGGAAGAATATCGAATCTGAAATTGGTATTGATTTGGTTCGGAAAACAGGAACCATCTCAATAAAATATGTTTTTGGAGAGCGCCAGTTAAACCACAATGAACATGGTCTAACATTAATGAGGTTGCTTCAAATCCTTCTCGTTTGGCAGGGTATCGGTATCAATATAGGCTGCTTATGTGATGTTTCGGGACGATAACTGGTGTTACTGTTTTTATGCTCATGTATTAACGATGTTGCTGCCGATATATTGTCCTTTCAGATGGCATATTTTTTTTCTGTGTGAACAATGGTTATTGGTCTGTCGGTTTATATGTATTTTGCATTGACCATTAAAACATGGTTAGCAATGTTATTCCCAGAGTCTATAATTGCATTTGTATGGCGTATGTCATCGGTGAAGTTAAGCAGCGTCGAGCTCGGAGAGTCCTTGGATGGGTGACCGTGTTTGGCAGCTTGACTCCTGAGAGTTTCTAGGACTTGAGTCCTGCCCCACAACGCAGCACATGTGACACATGTGGTCTCACCTTAGGCAAGTGAGTTTGTTCAAAATTGTCTCTGTTCACCCAGCAGGAAAATGGGTACCCGGTGGAAAAAGGTCATATGACTATAACCTTCTAGCGCCTAACAGGCAGCTTGGGTTATCCGGGTTAATAATGTGCTGTGCCTTGATTGTTAGCGCTATGAGCATACCTAGTGTGGAGTTTGGCGCTATATAAAATGGACACATTATTATTATTATTATTATTATCGTGTGATACAACATACCAGGTCTATAAGTGTTGGGTTAGTTGGTTGCATTCAATGAGGGCTCTCCATCATAAAACATTGATGCATTTATTTTCATTATTATCTATTATTCATTATTAACCGTCGTTGCACGTGTGTGATTTTTGTCAATGTCATTTCTCGGTAGATAAATCGCATTTCATTTTCTTCATCCATCAGAGGGGCGGTGGGGTAGCCTAGTGGTTAAAGCGTTGGCTCGTCACGCCGAAGACCCGGGTTCGAATCCCCCCATGGGTACAATGTGTGAAGCCCATTTCTGATGTCCCCCGCCTTGATGTTGCTGGAATATTGCTAAAAGCGGCGTAAAACCAAACTCAGTCAGTCAGTCAGTCAGTCATCCATCAGAGGCGATTTTGACGTTGGGGCTAAGTCATGGTGCAGTAAACTCTGGTTATAACGCTTACACGCTTACAACAAACCGACGGATACAACCATTGTTTGTCGCAACGACTGCGTCCTCCTTCATATTTTAGTCGAATAGCGTACAACTACTGTTATAACGAACTTGAATTGCTGGAAATATCATGTACTATTTATTTGTAATGCTTATGATATACTTAGAACGAAATATATAACAAAGTTCACTAAAGAACCACTTACTCATTACTCTGTCGTAAATCTTTTTGAAAAAGAAAAAATGATGCTGTCATATACAATGTTAGCCTTTACTTATACCATGTACAGAAATTGATAAACTCCAGGACATAGAGCTGCAAAGTTGTATTGCGCACCCACTAAACACAATGTCAGTCTGATTGTATTATGGGCGAGGGCCTCTTTACTGAATAAATACTGTCTGTCTGTCTGAATAAGCGGCCTCTCCTTGGGTTCGTTATAACAGTAGTTTATTGTATAACATGAAGAAAATATTAATATCGAAGTCGGTTTAAGTGGGTATACGAGGTGGAGCTGTGATATGTGTCGCGGGTTCAGGTCTTGAGATGTCCCAAGGACAATAATTGATGAGACGGGGAACGTCGCTTACGATATGCACCAGTCTATTGCCCCTGAAATACGAACATTACAACATGAGAAATATGTTGTGTGCGTCCGACATGGTCGGATGGTGACATGAAAGTCGTATGTATCTTATATGAATACATCGGCAATAAACAATACAATTATAGATATAAGATTGGTATATAATAGTTATGCTATAATTGTATAATTGATATAATATATATGACGTCACGCATAAGCGTTTCGTCCGGGATATTTTGCAATTGATGTGACGTCACGCATTAGCGATCAGTCAAAATTATATACAACTAATGATTTAGTATACTGTAGATATAAAATCATAATCATTGATCATTCACACACTGTCTTACATGCAATGCTAATGCTTTAAGTTAGTAAGTGATGCACGCGAGAGAAAGTTTACATTACGCGGTCGCGATTAATTACTAACTTAAGATATATGTTATTACTATTTTGATGACAATAATATATATACTAGCAATGATATAGATGTAGAAAGAATATATGTAGAGAGGGTGCTTACCTGTGAAATACAAACATTACAGCATGAGAAATATGTTGTGTGCGTCCGACATGGTCGGATGGTGACATGAAAGTGTCACACGTCACAGGCATGAAACGCACGAGATTTGGCGGGTTAGCCGAATACGGGTGGCACGTACAACTCTCTACATATAGCCAGTGGAGACGCAGCCCTCTGGTGAAATAAAAGGGAAATAGAAGGCTGTCGGCGACATATAGAATATCATTGAGCTCGCACTATGATTCCTGCGTTTTACCAGCAAATTCTATAACGATAAAATAATAATAAACCAGATTTTTAACCCAATTTCATCTACACTTGCTATCGAGTAGTCTTCTTTCATTCGTCCACAAAGGTGGAGTACAGACCGTACAGACAGTGCACAGTTGATATTAGACGCATCTTATCTCACATATGTAGGACTCGGATCCATGGCAGGCCTCAAATCCGTGGCGGATTACCAAATCCATGGCAGATCTTCAAATCCATGGCTAGTTGCCGTACACACCCTAATAATCTGAGGCGGATTTCCTACACATCGTCATTAGAACATTTCACCTCGGTAGAATAGGGGTTTATGGCACTTCATTTATGTGATTCTAACTTACTGATACCCTGGGTTTGAGACTCTCTGAAGCTCTGTTAGCACTAAGATCGTCTGTCGATATTGCTAATGTTTTTACGACTATCATAGAACTAAGAGAGCTTCGAAAATTTAGGCCATGCTAATCTTGCAAATCTTTACACTTCCCCATTTCGGATTCAGCGTTTTCAGTTTTGTAATTGCAAGTATTTTTTCCGTGTCGTTCCAAAATGTTTCTGCATTGGGATCTTTTGATACGGGTCTCATCTTCTTTGTAGGTGACTCCACAATTACAAAACCATCATTTTCTATGTTTTCCATTTTCTTAGCTTTGAAGATTTTCCTGAGATTACTATCGCCACGAACGGCTAGTGTCGAATAACGTCGGGGACGGTTAGCGATTATGACGTCATCGAGTAATGACGTCATTACGCGAGACGTCATGTAACAATCGAACAATCAGACCTGCCACGGATTAGGAAACCCGACATAGATTAGAGAGACCCGCCTTAGATCTGAGTCCTACACATATTTGAAACATGTGTTGATAACAGGCGTCTGATCATTGATCATGTGAGCTGGGTTTAAGGCCGCTTGGAACAGTGTTGTAGTTATATCACTGCTTACCAGCTTCATGTATACCAGTCCAGACTGATGCAGGTCTAAGATTTGATCCATTTGGTCAAATCTCGAGTGAGGGCATGCTGAAACACCAACAGCACAAGTGACTCCAGTGGGATTAGAACCAACGATCATAGGTATAAATGTAGTTGTTTGAGTGGCATTCTAGAAATTGGTGGTATAGAGATTACAAGACTTTATGGATGACCACTTCCTCCGTCAACAGGTCGCTGAAATTGTCCAGAAGTCAAAGCCACAGCAACCAAACATCACCAAAGGGGTGAAACAAGCCATCGCCGACCTGCGCAGAGACAAAACCATCACCATCCTCCCTGCTGACAAGGGCAAGGCACGGTGGTGCTCAACACCCCTGACTTCGACACCATGGTCAGCAAAATCCTTGACGACACCAACACCTACCGAAAAATCAACAAAGACCCAACAGTGAAGCTGCAGAGACAACACAAGGCCCACCTGAAAGGCCATTCTTAAAATAAAGAACTTGATCATCCATAAAGTCTTGTCATCTCGGTATAAATGTAGTTCCATACGTTGCCATTAGAGATTGCCATTAGGTCTGGTGGACCTTATTCTCGCGTACTATGCTGTTCCTCAAGGTGTCTTTGGGATCACTGTTTAGAGTGTCAGATCGATCTCCCGAAGTAATATGTTGCTCTTCAAGGTGTCTTGAGATTCAGATCTGCTCTTGTAATATGATGTACTGCAAGTTCAGCTGATTGCAAGCCTCTGTGTCAGATCCCACACACTCCCACCCCTAGTCCCCATCTCTGCAATATCGTGTCCCCTACATCTTCATCCCTATTCTCACCCTCTGATCTCACCAGATCCCATCCCCACAATCCGTCCCTATAACATTTTGCTCCTTTTGACTGTTTCCATGTTCCAGCCTGCCTGTCATATTCCTGTAATGCTGATCTCCAGTCTGTCATCTTGCCTGGGGGGAAGAAAATCCTCCCGTTTTTTAAAATGTATTTTCACCGCTGTTAAAAACCACCGTTTATTGATTTGAGTGACGGATGAAGGGTCCACTTAATCTGGAGTATTTCACATTAATTCATGACCTGTGAGGAATCTCTTGTAACTCAAGTCTCCTCCTGAATGGATTCTTAGACTGGTTAAGATCACCCTGACACTCATTGAACTCGATCTAGTTTGCACGACACGCGCCACCTGGCGACAGGCTTCGGCCCATCTTCACAACCTCTAGCTATCCTTCTTTGAATTGAAAGAAACAATATTGGAAAAACATTTCCCCAAATTCATCATCACTCTGACAATATCAGCTGACTGAGATATCTTATGAATGAAGGAAAGGACCCAACTGCGGGACAGTTTGTTGCTTTCATGCACTTGATATTTAGAGTTGTTTAGTTAATCAGTGAATGTGTGGTGTCGCCTGAAACAAATTGTCGCTGATGTTCTGATTACAGAACCCAGATGTTTGCTCGTCACACAGGAACCCCAAGTTCCATAAACCACACAGGTAAAATCACTCGTGACGAAACTCATTAATGGTGTCACCTGTCTTCCATTGAAGCCATTGAAATCCTGGAGACGAACCCTAACCACGTCTTTAGGTTTTAGAGAATATAGATATTTCAAGATTGCAGACCACAGCATCATGTCCAGACAAGTGCCGAGTTTGAGGTCGCGTTATCACCTTCACAAACGTCAGATCGGGCTGACACCATGAACGAAACTAGGTTATGGTGTCTGTGTAATCACATTGAACTCCCCATGGCCTCGCTAAAACATGGCGTCCACAGCGTCAGTATCAGTTCATCAGTCTAATCAATAAACAGCCGAGGCTGACCGCTCCCATAATTCTATTAGGCTGTTGGTGAGGATGTTTTCGTAACAATGTCGTGATAAGGGTGGGGAGCGTCCTGGAGACATCAGTGACGTCAGCGTCAGTTGTCATTGTAGGAGAACCAGATGGGACGTAGTACACGTCAACCAGCAACAGCTTCAAGCTCAGAGTCCCGCTGACAGCTGCCAATTACGTTTGTCGTGTGGTTTGATCAACAGCTGTCAAATAATGTGATGATTCCATCAGTGTGGTGCCGCCAGAGACAAATAAATACGGAAACAGACGCTTCTAGTTTTAATCGGCTCAAACTTCCTTCATGGCAGTGGAACTTTACAATGTCACTTCGTCATGTGTATTTGAATAGGCTGGAATGTTGAGGAGTGAGGTCTTATTCAACCTAAATAATCAAAATTTAATGTTTTTGCATGTAAGAAAGAAAGCGTCCTCTGTATAAATTAAAACCATTGAGTTAAACTCAAATAGACAGCATGTTTGTGCATGGAAAAGGAGCAGTTGTTGGCATTAAGCGTATTTGCAGCTTGTTTCCTCATGCCTTGACATAGACGTGAACCTCCGAAGCTCTTGCAAAAGCTGAATTGGATTCGTTAAAGCCTATTCATGGCTTGAGGTAATGTTGAACTTAACTATTATATTGAGTTAAAATTCTTTCAAATGTGTATTAAAATCAACGAAATTGCATAATATAATGATGTGCAAATATATATTCTGGAGCCCCTTATTTACCTGTCTGAAATTGGATGTCGATGCTGCAACGTGTTAAATATACAATTTGCGGTCGTAGCTGATTCGTAGGTAGTTCTTACTTGCTTCGTACCTGCTTCGGCGTGTATTTGTCGGATTCCTGACAGATTCGTGTAGCCGATTCGTGGTCAAGCCACGAACTGACGAATACACGAATGAGTTAAGAATGCCTACGAATTGGTTACGATTTGGTTACGATGCTTCAGAATGCACTACGAATTTGTTACGAATTAACTACGATTATGTTTAATCGGGAGTTCGTGACCAAAATTTTGAACAGTTCAAAACTTTTGCCACGAATTCCCGATTACTCAAGAACTGCAAGAACGGACTATGACTATATTACGAATTAGTTAAGAACTCCACTAGCTGATTACGATTCAACTACGAATACTCAAATTTGTTAATTCGTGGCAATTCGTGGGATTCGTGGTCTGTGTGGAATAGGGGCATTAAGGAAGTCAGTCAAGACCTGAAGTTTCTTCCACATCATCCGACGGCGGCAGAACAAGTCTGTAGTCTGGGCAGGATCGTGAGCGGCCATACTGAGTATCAGCCTCGGTTAATGAGATTACTCCTAAAACTTGTCAGGTTGAAAATATAGTCATGAAAACAAGGAATTTAGGGATAGAAATTCTGCAAGTTGGATCTTCCCAGGTCTGAGATGTAGCACAGTTGAATACACGTGTTACTTCTCCATTCTACTAAAATAACATAGAACGCGAACTCATTGGTGACTGGGGCGGCCTGGGGTTATCCTAATAATTCGACTGTGAAGTAAATCGAATTTATGGAATAATTCATAATAGCCTTCATGCAAAATTTGCTTCAATATACACATACCAGTATACATAGGGTCACTGAGTTTAGTTCGTTGTAACCGTTGTTCATTATACGCATATACCTCAAAGCCGTAGGTATGAAAGTGCGACAAAAAGGATATGTTGACGATAGAGTGAGAGAGTGAGTTATTACTTAACGTCACATCGGCAATATTGCAGCCATATCGTGACGAGAACATAAATATTTGATTTTGAAGTGGAATATATGTATATTATAAAAACCTGTCGACGAAGGACTGGTAAACAACTAGAATATCACAATTAGAATTAAAACTAGCGTGGAAAGTTTAAAACTAATAGCACTATTGGGACAATACAATATAAAAACAGGCTATAGATCGCCAACAACATGTTGACGATAGAACTAATCTGGAAAACTTTAGTTCCAGTGATTTCAGAGAAACGTGTTCACTATATGGTTTGGATTTTCAGTGGAGACTTAAACATAAGGAAGTTTCAAGCAATGGTTATTTTGGAAATCTTCGTTAAAAGAAAAATATATATTTGTTGCAATATTGTAATTAACCACCCCCGGAGGTTCCATTCTGATGACGCCAAACAGATAACATCATGTGGATACTTGGCAGATGGTGTAGACAAGTCCTGTCGATCCAGCAACTTAAACGATTTAGGGATCAGCTTTCGGTCTGGACAAAGATGTAGAACATTGCTTTAGGGAACTAGAACGTGGAACTCATGACCATGTGTCACCATTTACACACATTTGACACAATCCGTGATTTGAATAAGGTATTTAGAAACAGGAGGATGCAGTCAAGATTTGTGAGTGATGATTTGCATATCGAAGCTACACAGGTAGCAGCCGTAGCCGTGTACAACTTCACGAACACGTGAATACGTGAATACTTATGGTGATCCGATTAATTGAAATAATCGAAAATTGGTCACAGTGACTAAACGACCAAGCAATCGATCATGTTTTCTCATAATCGAACACAGACAATTCAGGAACACTTGATTTCATCAACAATATATTTCACAAGGTTGGTTTTGTCTGTTACATTTCATAAGCACTACAGACGTTCCAAGTCATGATTGAATTTATCTTAAAGACACCAAGAGATTTATGT